GACCAAATGAATCAATATTTTGGTAATTGAATGCTTTCATACCGATGATACTCACTGAATCATCTTGACTTGGTCTGAGGTTTGAATAAGCAACGTTGATGATGTAAAAACAAATATAAATTTCAGCATTGATTCGTAATATTTACTAACAGGGTAGGTTGTATGCACTGAGTAACCCATTTTTGGCTTTATGCTACATTTAGGGTCAGTTTCGCGAACAGAAAGAAGGAACGGAGAATGGAACAATCTCATTTTTAAGATATTTAGCACATTTCGAGGACAAACAATGTGGAAATTACTTAATCTTTTATCAATTTATTTAATGTACAGGGGGAAATCATTCAGAAAATCACTAAAGGAAGAAAATGTTCCATATAAAATAAGAGGTATTCGAATTTTATCTTGAAAAAATACATTTTCCGACCTTCAACAATCCTTTCTTATACTTGATGAGAATCTATTCAACGACCTCGTTCAATTATTCATATTATTCATTAGCATTTTATATCTTGTAAGCCGTAACTTTGTTCTAAATCCGTACAGATTCATCAGAATACACTACAAAGCGATGGAGTGAAAGCAAAGAATGGTTTGTCTCAAACGTGAGATTTGATTCTTTTTTTGCGAAGGGATTTGATTTTTTACCTATTCGGCAACGTTCACTTCTTATCAACGATCTAAAAAAATGCCCAGTATATCACAATATATGTCTCAGAGTACGTCAAAGTGCATCTCGCGATAAGAAGATCATCAGAAAAAAATAGGGAAGAGCAAGATGATAAAAAAAAAATAGTGAAGTAAGAAAAAGCAATAAATAGAGAAGTGAGAAATTGCTACAGCATATCGTAAAGGACAATTGTGATTATCTCGTTAATCTTGTGAAGATGCGTTCAGTTCTGAAACTATTCGGAAATTTCGAGGCTCCGAAGAAGTTTCCAAATGTATTCTGAAGTTGTAGAGATTCAAAAAAAACGATGAAAGGAATTTGATAATAGCACAGCAATTTGCATACCAAAGATCACCTGATCCTTACGATTAGAGGTAAATTCATTGTGCTTTATGAAAAAATATATGAGCTAATGTAACGTTTTGTGCAAAGCATTGCGGAAATTTGATAATAGCACAGCAATTTGCATACCAAAGATCACCTGATCCTTACGATTAGAGGCGAATTCACTGTGCTTTATGAAAAAATATATGAGCTAATGTAACGTTTTGTGCAAAGTATTGCGGAAATATTCATCGAAAAATCGTGAAATGCATTAAGAAAATTAAAGATGTATGCAAGCGATCACAAAGAACACTGAACGATCAAACAATCCGAAGGACACTGAACAATCAAACCATATGCGTCCCACTAAATTCCACCCGTAACCCCTCAGGCTATACCTAACCTTGAATGCCAAACGCATTCTTTGTCATCTATTAATTAGGTTGTCATTGCAAATCAACAATATTAATAACAGCATCATCCCGCATAATACTATGTCTCAATCAAAAACCACATTGATAACACTCGAATTTATTAGGAAATGAACGATGCTCTAAGATGATAAATGATTTCCAACTTGCTCAACACAGTTCTCTGATGAATCGAACGGTGCGCAGAATTTTGACATAAATGATGCTGCATTCATATGAGAAGTGAATTAGGTCTAGAACATTAACTCAGAATCAACTGAATTACTTATTGTTAGGAAATACGGGACTGGAATGAAAAAATGATGAAATGAATAGTGAATTTGCATACTTTTTGAAATAATTGTTCTGACTATGAATCTTTGAAAGAATGATTTTTTCATGCGCATTGGCCCACCAGTCAAATGTGATGGGAAATTGCTGGCAAATAATCTATCTCATAAACTCCGTGAATACTATCGACATGCATATTTTCGTTTTCGATATGCATATTTGCATATGCATATTTTTAGCATCAAGCAATGCATACAGTGGAGAACATCTTTCAAATATTGCGCAGTTTATATACATTTTTTAGGCATTGTTTCTTTTTAAATCAATTCATATTTTTGATGTTGTAAAACCGTTTCGCAGAAGTAATGAGAGCAATGTTGTAAAACCGTTTCGCAGAAGTAATGAGAGCAGTATATTTTGAACTTCACATATTTTGATAATCTGCTGAATATTTCGGTTTATATACGTTAATTCTCGTGGGTTTATCGAGCCTTAATTATTTCATTCGCTGAATAACTGTTAAGAGAGTGGCTGTTTTCAAAACTTAGTTAATCTCAACAACAAAAAAAACGCCGTAAAAGTAGAGTTTCTTAAGTGATAACAATTCAACAAAATTGTCTAGTGTTCACGGGAAGCGGCGCAGTACTGGAAAACTTACGGTTTTATCACAGCTATACGAAAAGCAGCAGCACATTTTCGAAGCTCTTGATTGGACGACTGCTGGTCTCCTTTTTAAATCTTCAACTTATTTAGATTCTTATGCATATCATTTCAAGCTTTCTAAGCCGCAGCAGCCTCGTTTCGAGGCTAAAGAAACTTGCTTTCTTCCCACAGCAAAAGTTCGCCTCCGACGATCACTGAGAGCAGTGTGGTCAGTGTCACGTGCTCATATAAGGTTTCAGTGCATTCGGGTGCAGTTGTCCACAGTTTGAACTCAACATACTGGATGTCATGAAACTGCCGACCACAACAAAGTTGACATTAAACGATGAGCTGCACTAAATCTCCTTATAATACAATAGAACAAGGATGACAACTTTTGCGCTGCTATACGCAAATGCTTTCGTGTGTACAAACAACAAAACGAAATTCATACTCTGATGAGGGTAATATGGGCCCTGTGCAGACAAAATAAAATCATCGAACAATACGTTTTTTATTGGTGAATCAGTTTGGTTTGATATGGTGTTATTCTGGGTTTATTAGAGTAATGATTGTTAGTGAGTTCTTGAAGGGATTAAGTGACACTCATTCTGTTCTGTCGATGTTGACGTTGCAGTACTCATTTACAGAATGAATTCATTTGAAAGTTATTGTTTTCTCGAACATTATTTATGATCGTTTTGAGTGAATCGTGCTCGTATTGTAATTGCAAGTGGATTGTAGTCAAGGTAATGAACTTATTCAGCTTGGTATCGACATTATTGAAACACTGTGTGCTTGGCCAGAATGGTTGAAGAAGTTGTGCAGCAGCAGAAAGAAAAGGAAGAGGAGGTCAAGAAGGTATTTATTCCGATATTGTCATTATCACCCTTGATCAGGTTCATTCAGTTCATGCTGATAATGATGAAGTTCTTGATTATAGCAATGAAATTGATTTTAAGGTAACAACTGACGATGCGTCATCGAACTCATCGGATGCCGAAGGACAAGACGCTGAGAATGAAGCTGATGAAGGCGAGGTTACAGATGCACAGAAGAAGGTCGCTGAAGCAGCTGGTCTTACTGAGCAGGTTATATCGATTCATTCCTAGAGTTTGGTTGCTTTCTGGAAACGTCATTTCTTTTTAATGAAGAATCAGAATACGGTCTTTGAATCGTTTCATTCCAGGTTAATTACGGCCGTACTGCGGTCGCCAATTTTTCCAATCTAGTGCAGTCGTGAGAAAAATGAATTGAGTTTGAAATGAAGGAAATGAAAAAATTGTGTTTGTAGGTGAGTGGTGACAAAGGTAGCAAACAGTCACGCTCCGAAAAGAAAGCTCGTAAGCTGTTCAGTAAGCTCGGCCTTAAACCAGTTCATGGTGTATCACGAGTTTGTATTCGCAAATCCAAGAACATCCTCTTCGTTATCAACAAACCTGACGTTTACAAAAGCCCCGGTTCAGACACTTACATTGTTTTCGGTGAAGCTAAGGTTTGTCCTCTATAACTTTTGTTGCTTTTTTGACAAATTTAGAAGGATTTTTCCTTCTAAATTTGTCAAATGTAAATTTAAGGCCTTATAAACTTATTATTCAGTGCATTATAAGTGTGAGTGAAGATAACGA